TCTGTGTCTGTCTTGTTGGGTTGCAGAACCAAACCAGACAGTTATAGAGGTGCAGATGACAATATCTCAACATCAACCCTCCATCCAGATAAAATGACTTTATTGGAAAGCAATAAAATTGAGTCGTGAGGTTTAATTTCTGGCTTTTACATAGAGAAGGCTTTGTGCAACTGCTAGATAAGTAATGGCCACATCACTTCTCAGTTCTTTTGAAATAAACCACTTAGTTTAACCGGCAGAGTGTTGATACTAAACAGATTTAGGTAGTTACTCAACTGCAGTCAAACATTTATGACATGGCTTTGAAATTTAAATTAGAAATTTCCTGGTGAAGACAAGTCTACCACGTTCCAATTTCAGTTTGGGTCCTTGCCAGAAATCTATCTACTACAGCTGAAACTTCAGCCTTAGTTCTTTCTGGGGCTTCTCTACAGATGAGATGAGGGCCAGCCCCTCATCTATTGTCTTAAGTAGCCACATTAAATGCTGCCCCTCCCTGTAATTTTAGGCTGGCTACTTCTTAGTGATTGTCTCAGCTTCAGCCTCCAGCAACAGTAGATATCTAATCCAGTGTTTCTCAATTTTGGCAACTTTAAGATATGTGGACTTCAATTCCCAGAATTCCCTGCCAGCAATGCCCATGCATTTTAAAGCATGCTGGCTGTGGAATTCTGGGAGGTGAAGTCCAGTCATCTTAAAGTGCATAGCTAAATGTCTATGGGGATTCTCAGTCATCCAGGTCACAGTTGTCACCCATCTTAAATCTGCCAAGGTCCAGAAACACTGATCTAGTCCATCTATGTTGGAACTACATACTGCGGTTCTGGATACAAAATTGTCAATTTGTTGCCTTACATGGAATTAACACAGCAAAGATGACTAAGAATGAAATACTGGACTCCAGAGCCAGTGGTGGGTTTCAAATTTTTTTACTACCGGTTCTGTGGGTGTGGCTTGGTGGGCATGGCTTGGTGGGCATGGCAGGGGAAGGATATTGTAAAATCTCCATTCCCACCCCATTCCATGGGAAGGATACTGTAAAATCTCCATTCCCTCCCCAATTCAGGGGAAGGATACTGCAAAATCCCCACTTCCTCCCGATCAGCTGGGACTTGGGAGGCAGAGAATAGATGGGGGCGGGGCCAGTCAGAATTTTTACCACCAGTTCTCCGAACTACTCAAAATTTCTGCTACCGGTTCTCCAGAACTGGTCAGAACCTGCTGAAACCCACCTCTGCACCAGACATGTCACTAGAAGGCAAAATCGCAAAACTGCATCTCATTTACTTCTTCTTTTTCTTCTTCTTATTTATTAAATTTTTATACCGCCCTTCTCCCGAAGGACTCAGGGTGGTGAACAGCCAAGATTAAAATACATACGACATGAAAATTAAAATAATTTAAAACATAATTAAATCAATTTGGCTTCCCCAATTTAAAACCCCTTACCCATAAAATTAATCAATTAAAAATTTTAAGCCAGCCCGGCTGGCTGAAATAGAAAAGTCTTCAAGGCCCGACTTCCACCATGTCATGAGGGGGAATTCACTGGAGAAAGCATCCATGCTTGGAAGAGTTAGTGGTGAAAGGAAACATGTTAAAGAACACGGTGGCTGGACATCATCAAAGCTGACACCAGCCAGAGCATAGAATGACTCAAAGAACTACCGCAAGATTGGAAGATGTGGAGAGACCTGGCTCATAGATTCGACTGAACGGATAACATCATCATCAACAATTTACAAGCTTAAGATTTTGCATGGTGGCGTACATTTGATCATTTCTGATTCCTTTGCTGAAAGAACATATATCATTCTCCCTTTAAGTTACTCCACGGCTCCAAAACTATGCATACAGTATGACTGGCTGCTTAGCAAATGTTCAAAAATATGACAGATTCCCCCAAAATGTACTTATGACACAGGTCTGAAGTTCTGATGGCTGCCCCTTTCTTGCAGTCATTAATCATATTTTCAATGCTTGACAACCAGCCCGCATTTACAATTGTGTGACCACAATTCACAATTTTTTTTGCTGAAAATTTACTTCCGGATTTTTGGCAAAACACCCCTTAGCAAACAATAGCAAAAGCACTTAGACTTATATACCGCTTCATAGTGCTTTTACAGCCCTCTCTAAGCGGTTTACAGAGTCAGCATATGGCCCCCAACAATCTGGAACCTTACCCACCTCAGAAAGTTGAGTCAACCTTGAGTTACCTAAAAGCCATAGCGTTCACTTAACAACTTACACAACCAAAGGTCATAAAATCAGTCGTCAGTCATATGATGAGCCACTTTATAACCGTCACAATTTATGACTCTAATTGGCAATCTCCATTATGGTCATACATTGGGTATTACTTGTATATACAGCATATAATAGTATCAGTGGTGAGATTCAGCCAGTTCGCACCACTTCGGGAGAACCGGTTGTTAACTTTCTGAGCAGTTTGGCAAACTGGTTGTTGGAAGAAATCATTAGGGCAGAGAACTGGTTGTTAAATTACTTGAATCCCACCACTGCATAGTATTCATATATAATGAATTTAAATAATTCACTGTTCTGGTTTAATCTGAATAGGAAAAACTGTGGAGAGCTTAAACTGGCTTATGTCTTGAACATGTTAACTTCCAACCATATTTTATTTTGTTTTTGTCCAGGCTGATTTGTGCTCATTCAGATGAAATGACATACAGTGGTACCTCAGTTCTTGTCAGTAATTCGTTCCGGAAGACGTGCTGAATACTAAAACTGACAGGTACGGAGAAAAACCACATGATTTACCACGTGACTTTCTATTTCAGCCTGAAGAAATAGCAAGTCACAAGGCAGCTGGTATCAGCAAGATTTTCGTTCCACATCAACTATCAAGAGAAAGACGAGCGCCATGACAAGATTTCTGCTTCGAAACACGTTGAGTACTGAATTTGACAAGTTTTGAAGCAGTCAAATACCGAGGTATGACAATACTGGGGTTATACTGAAGGCTGAAGCAAATGTTTCTAATTGCCTTCTAGAAGTCACAATGGAGGAGAAGGAAGGGAAATCTGGAGTGCAGATGTAACGCTAAACTTTGACTTAGTCCTGCATCTCAATGCAACCACTGACTCAATTTGCAGATTAAGCTGTGAGGCATCTATCAGATTTCTGCTTGGAATTCTTTCAAGACGTTTACAAATTAGTGAGAAATCTTTCAGGAAAGAAGGAAACGTCTGGAGGAGAATTTCCAGATGCTGTTTCTTTTTCCCACCATCTTTTCTCCTAGGCAATACTTTTTTATCAGGGAAACTTTTAAGCCAAAAAGCTTTTTTTGCTTGTTTGTTTTAGGGTTTTTTTTAAATGCAAAACAATTGCCATCATGTACAGAAATTGTAGGATATCTTTCAGGGGGGATTTGATTTAAATCGAATTGATTTAAATCACAATTTAAATCATGATTTAAATCACTAGTAAAAAGGCTTGATTTAAATCAACTCGATTTAAATCATAATTTTTAAAGAGCAACGGTCATCTCTGCTACTCGTTTGACCTACTGTTGACTCACCGATAGTCCCAGTGTTGCAGAATATACAGCCTCATGCTACATAACTAAGCTCCATTTCATGCTGAATAAACTAAATTATTTATGTATTTTAAATAGAAAACTATCTTACGATAGATTTTTACCCCAAAAGTTTTTTATTAAAATAAATTCGATAAAAATAAAAAAAATCCAATTTAAATAAAAAAAATCTGATTTTTTAAATTTTTTTTAAAAAATCATTGATTTTTATCCACCCTGATATCTTCGTTACTTTATGCAATTTTAGCGATATGTGCAATGTACATCTGCATGCAAGGTTGTCTGCAAAAGACACATGCGCATACCAATATACCAATATTCTGTATTTGCATGTATGTAATTGCACAGAGCCCCTCTGAGCAAGATGGACGGTTTCTAAATTAAATAACATTAAATAAATAAATAAATAAATAAATCACTGTAACTCCAAAATAATCAAACTTCCATTCCTAGATGCAAAAATTACATTCATATTACATTGTTAGGTTGCATAAATTACTTTTTAATAGTTGCCTACAACTAAACCAATGACAAATTCCTTGTGTGTCCAATCACACTTGGCCAATAAAGAATTCTATTCTATTCTATTCTATTCTATTCTATTCTATTCTATTCTATTCTATTCTATTCTATTCTATTCTATTCTATTCTATTCTATTCCATTCCATTCCATTCCATTCCATTCCATTCCATTCCATTCCATATTGTCCCTAACGTCTGACTGTAATCAAATTAAGCAGGTTACCGTGTGACCACTTCTGATTTTACAACCTTTTTTGTGACAGTTGTTAAATGAACGTGGCAGTCATTAAGCAAATCCATTGTTTGCATTGGGTTTTTGTTTTTTTGCCAGAAACTGGAAATAAACACCCTAAATTGCAGTGAGGTGACACTGCATGGGACACTGCAAATACCCGTAAATATTGATCATTTGCTAAGCACCCAAAATCATCACATGACTACAGAGGGAGGGAGGGAGGAACAGCCATCAGAACTTTGAATCAGGGTCATAAGTAGCTCTGGGGAGGTCTGTTGTAACTTTGAACAGTTGCTAAATGACCGGTTGTTGATTAAGGACTACTCGTATAGCTGTAGGAGAAGTCATCAGTTTAGAGTCCTTGCATTGTCACAAGAGATTCAAATCCAACCCCTCTTACATCCCGTTGCACCAATTTAGTGCTGACCATTAGTTGACCCAATTCTTGTACAAGGGTGTCCAAACTTGGCAACTTTAAGACTTGTCGACTTCAGCTCCCAGAATTCCCTAGTCAACATGTCTGGCTGAGAAATTCTGGGAGTTGAAGTCCACAAGTCTTAAAGTTGCCACATTTGGAGATCCCTGTTCTTGTGTATAGGGTGTAATAATAAACCTTCTGTGCTTAATGAAGGATCTTGATTCTTTGCGCCTGACAATAGCCTTATCTTCAGTACGTACTTGGTTGGCTGAGAGACCAAAGCATCCTGATGCAGTCCATAACAGTGGTAGGCATTAAACGTTCCAGGTTCCATAGATACTCCTTCCACAGCTGCAAACTCTTTCTCAACCAAGCCAAACATCTCCATCATTTTAAATCCTAGAAACCAAAACAGAGAAGTATGTGTGTCATCTCTACTTCTTCATCGGAATGGGAAGTTAAATATGAGTTATGTAATGAAGAGTTTAGCAACTCAGGCACTGCAAATTCTTACCATCTGACAATTACTTGATAATTGCACAACTAAGAAAATATGACCTTATGCTTTCAATTTCCATTGTACAGGAAGTAGAAGAAGCTAATTAAGGAAAGACGTACAGTATAGGTAGTCCTAGACTTACAACCATTTGTTTAGTGACCATTCAAAGTTACAATGGCACCGAAAAAAATGACTTATGACCGTTTTTCACACTTACAACCGTTGTGGTATCCCTATCATGATCAAAATCCAAACATTTGCATTTATGATGGTTGCGGAATCCCAGGGTTCACGTTAATTTTGTTTAAATGCTTCTTCTTCCTTTCAACACTGGCCTCCAAATATAATTTCTTCACCCCAATGATGGTGCAGTGAAGGCGCCATGTAGAATGTAATATTATCAAGTTATTGTTAATTATTTATATTGGGTATAGCCACTCCAATGGACTCTGGGTGGCTTACAAAATCCAAAAGCAGTAAAACGGTTAAAAGCATACAACACACACCGGGGCAAAACAACTAACACAATAACAAAAACCACTCCAAGATCTCATAAATAACCCAGAATATTAGACAAATCCCTCTCCATAGCTAAGCTGTAGCTATTGCAAGGAGATACACTATTTAAATATTACATTATTTATTCATTGCTTTAAAATGTAGGTAAAGGTAAAGGTTCCCCTTGCATATACGTGCTAGTTGTTCCCAACTCTAGGGGGCAGTGCTCATCTCCGTTTCAAAGCCGAAGAGCCAGCCTTGTCCAAAGACGTCTCCGTGGTCATGTGGCCGGCATGATTAAACTCCAAAGGCCCATGGAACGCTGTTACCTTCCCACCAAAGGTGGTCCCTATTTTTCTACTTGCATTTTTTACCTGCTTTCGAACTGCAAGGTTGGCAGAAATGAAAAATATACTTGTTTAATAAAAACATACCTGCTAAACTATTGCCCTCTTTATACACCAATGGACAAGCTGAAAAAAGCAAGAAAACAAATTATCTCTGAGAAGAAATAGTCATAATGCCAAGTGTATTATATATTTTTATGAACAACTGCATCAACTGCAAGAAATTAAAACATGTCAAAGCTTCAGAAGGTGGCCTGTAAACACAGCATTTTTTTTAAGCATCAAAATTTTATCAAGCCTTTCCTTTTGCCAAGTTTCTTTGCACCATAGTATTTCCTATAAACTTTAGATATGTTTTGGGGCTATTGATTCTTCACCTTATTGAAGTAAATACAGCAATGTTGTCTTTGTTGTGATCAATGGAATTTCTCCATCTATTTTGAAAATCCAGTCTGGAAAGCTTTACAAACAAAGTCATCACCACTCTGTGGCTGCAGTTTGAGGGGAAGCAGATGTTTTGAAAACTAGCAGACACGTCTTTCTTTTGTGCAGCTGAGACAGGCAAGCAATCACTGCATTGTTACTCCCTTTGGCATTCAATAGCTCGCGATGACACTGCTATATAAATTGTAGCCATTAGAGGTAGTCCTCTTCTTACGACTGTAATGGAGACCAGAATTTCCATTGTAAGTTGTGAGGGTCATAAGTCGAGACATGTGACCAAACTTGATTTTATGACTTTTTTTGTGGCAGCCATTAAGTGAACGCTGATCGCTAAATGAACATGGCAATCATTAAGCGAGTGAATGCAGGTTGAGCATTTCAGTATTCCTTTGGGTGTTTTTGCTGGAAACTGGCTAAAAAAGGTTGGAAACCAGGAAAATATGTCATAAATCGTGGTCATGCGATTGCAGAATGCTGCAAATGGCCATAAAGATAATCCAGTTGCCAAGAGCCCCAAATGAATCCATCTGACCACAGGTGTTTGTACAGTCATCAGAAGTCTGGATCTGGATTGTAAGTAGCTTTTGGGCGGTCCTTCATAATTTCAAACCGTTTCTAAGTGACTGGTCATTAATCAAAGACTATCTATATTATATTGGGTGCTTTATTACTGCAATGTATGGTAGAAACACAAACCACTGAAGTAAAAACAAGGATAGAGAAAGCATTCTTCAAAATGAAAAAGGTCTTCTGCAGTCACGACATAAGCCTAAAATTGAAAATCAGGCCTGTCAGATGCTACATCTTTTCTATCCTGCTCTACGGAGTGGAGAGTTGGTCTCTGACACAAAGCCACTTGAGGAGACTAGAAGCATTTGAAATGTGGATTTACAGGTGGCTGTTATGTATAAATTGGGTTGAAAAATCAGAAATCAGGAGGTAATAAGCCGCCTGGGAAAGCCAAGGGAAATCATCAAAACCATTAAAAAGCAAAAGTTAAAATATTTTGGACATGTGATGCGACACCCAGAAAATTACAGCATACTTCACTTAATCCTCCAAGGGAAGATTGAAGGCAAACGAGGTCCAGACAGAAGAACAACAGCATGGCTTCAAAATCTAAAGGACTGGTTTGGACAAAACTCACTTTTTCGTGCAGCTATTGATAAAAATAGGATCGCCAACATGATTGCCAACGTTAATATTAAATACGTACATACTGTACCTATACTAAAATGAATCAGGATGCCTGTCAAGTTTCCGAAAGATGCCCTAATTAAGTTGACAATGCCTTCTTTACATTTGCTTTTTTCTAAAATTGCTCAGTTTTTAAAATTATTCTCTTTTTTACTTGCAAATTGACCGTCATCATTGTCAAACAGACATATTCCAGCCAATTCTGTCCTTCTAAGTTTTTTTTTAAAAAGACATTCTCTATGGGTTTCATCTTACCTTAGATAAAAGTATTCTATCCAACTTGGCGAAGTAGTTTTTACATGATGGGACCAGTTTCTTTCTTTCTATACATTATATGTTCTTAATTAACTTAATTATAGTAATACATTTGAAATTGTTATTAGTTATTTTGAGCACCATCCAAATTGTCTATATAAATACAACATACACTTCTATAATGCTACCATCAAGTGCACACTTATCTGGGAGAAAACATTAAACTTAATGGGTCCTACTTCTAAGTACACATGAAGAGAAACAGGATGTGCACCATCATTCTGAAGATCAAATTAGCAAAATGCATTTTTTTAAAAAAAAAAATTGTGGCAATAGGCAGGAAGAAGTAAAGAAACAACTGCTAACTTGCAGAGGCTGTTTCACAGACAAAAGTGATCAGCTCATCTTCAATCTTTTTGAAGGCATCAAAGTCATCTACAAAGAACACATGTCTGTCGCTCGGCTTGCTGCCAATGTTAACCAGTTCTGCATAATCAGCATCTGCAACTCCAATGGCAAATATACTGAATCCTGGGGAAGGAAGAAAACATTCCCGGGATCAATCAATTGGTAAATATATAAATAAAAGTTGAATATATATTTTATTAATCTATTTGAGGCTTCCTCTGTTGTGGCCCACCAGCAGCCAGCAGAGCTGGCAGCAGATTCAGACAGTGAGGAGGTTGGGGAGGAAAGTGGGCCAGTCCTGGAGTCTGGGGAAGGCTCAGACGATGGCTCTAAGTCGGAGGCAGAGAGAGGGCCAAGGCCATCTGGTAGTTCTTTGCTGTCTCCGGAGTCTCCGGAGTCTGACATCAGCGAGGCAGAAGAACAGCGTGAGCATGTTCCCAGTGTGCGCATGCGCAGAGCTGCCAGGAGACAGGAACAATTAAGGAAACAGGGTCGACTTGGGAGTTAGGCTTGGAGATGATTGGCCCCTCCCATAAGACATAAAAGAGAAGTGAATAGGACGTGAGCTTTTGCAGGAAGCAATTAGTTCATCTGGCTGGTTCAAGATTTGAAAATTCTGTTTGTGACTCTGTGCCAGGTTTGGCCTTGCCCTGTGTCTGGAAATTAGCTCCTTGGCAGCGTTCCATGTGAGATAGGTGGGTGTTGATAACCTTCCTCTGAAAGACTATTTATCAAGCCTTGCAGACTGTAAATGAAAGTAATTTACAGCCGTATGAGTTATTTATTTATTTATTTAATTTATTTATTTTATGCAATTTATATGCCACCCTATCTCCGAGGACTCAGGGCGGCTCACAACGGTAAAATGCATAGTTCCATTAAAATTAAAGAATTAAAGAGGTTTGCGGGACTAAGATTGTGCTTTATACTTTCTAAGGAAATCTAGGTCAGAACATCCTCAGCCCATCTCTTCCAAATGTCCTAGACTGGATAATTCCTCTAAGACATGGGTGTCCAATCTTGGCAACTTTAAGACTTGTGGACTTCAACTCTCAGAATTCCCCAGCCAGGCTGGAAATTCTAGGAGGTGAAGTCCACAAGTTTTAAAGTTGCCAACACTGGACACCCCTGATCTAAGAGAATGGTGGGTATTTATAGTTCAATACATACAGAGGGCAGATGGAGGAAGATTGCTCTAGCTACTTCTTGAGCCAAACCTAGTTTTCTCCAAGGGCCAGAACAGGTCATAAATAACCTCCTTGCTCTTATCAACACCATCTGTTTATTCTTTCTGCATATTCAGAAAAGGATTGGTTTTGGCATCCTATTCCCTTTGGCTGGCCAAGTTTATTTTAGGAACAGAAATGACCCATGTCTGAGTCAAATGGATAAAGAAGCATATTTCCCTTATTTCTCTCAAAAATACATGATCTAACACTAACATTTGCCCTGCCAGCATATCACTATTGTAAGATGGAGCATTTTAGGAGTGAAATTACAGGAGTTATACCTCCAACTAAACTTGGGTCCACCAGGTTGAAGGAGGCGATTGTAAACACTAATTTGGAAGCTGATTCTGTGGAAGGTTTGCTTCTGAGGAACATGCCATATATGTGTTTGTGGCATCTAAGTGTCCAGTTAGCTAACAGATATGCAAAGAATTGGAGATCATATATACTACACCATTATTTGCTCAATCATGATTTATTGAATAAACTATAACTGGATAAGTTCACAAAATACATTAACAGAGTCATCTATTTATTTACCATAGAAGGCCAGGCACATTTGTATCAAACGGATGACATTGTGAAGGTTTCCTAAGAAAATGAATTCTTACCATCTAGTTGCATCTCTCTGGAAACTTGGTTCACGTCATCTTGAGATCGTCCATCTGTGATCACTACTAAAACTTTTGGGATTCCCTTCCTGGTCCCAGACTCCAAAGTAAATAAGATCTGTTGTGCGTGTTTAATTGCTCTGCCTGGGAAGGAAGGAAGGAAGGAAGGAAGGAAGGAAGGAAGGAAGGAAGGAAGGAAAAAATATCATGTAACGTTAAACTACTATTGTTTGTCTAAGAAAAGTTTTAATGAACTCAACTTTGTAAACTCTACCTCTTCTCTTCCGGCAATTCAACCTACCTGTTTTGGTATTTCCCCCTTTGTAGGCTATATGCTGAATGGCATCTAGTAGAGTTTCTTTGCTTCTGTAGGCATTCAATTTAAATTCTGTCCTCGTATCATCACTAAACTGGGCAATTGCCACCTGAATAAGAAAGATACCTTTCTTATGTACACAATTTAGCAAAAGGAGTTTTGCTCTTTTTTAATCCCAGTCTGTGAATCAGTTATGGGAAAGAGCATGAAGCAGAAAGGTCATTTCAGAAAAAGATGGCTGGTTATCAAACTAAAGAAAGTGTGAAATTTTTCTCCCTTTCTCAAAATATTAGAGTCATGCAAAGAAACTAATTGGTTAGAGATTTAGAACAGACAAAAGGATACCTTTTCAACTAAATCAGGGGTCTCCAAATGTGGCAACTTTAACATTCGTGGACTTCAACTCCCAGAATTCTCATGGCTAGCTGAGGAATTCTGGGAGTTGAAGTTCACAAGTATTAATTGTCAAGTTTGGAACCCCTGATCTAGATCATGATTAACTTGGATGAAAAAAATACAGTTTAAAAACTATGAGCAAAGAGTCTTTGTGTTGGAATAGAAATGTGGAAAATAAACGTTTTTTCAGATTTATTATTTCAGTTCATTCGGTGTGACTATATTTTGATACAATTGAAAACATTTCACGCTAACTTTAAAATGTTCATATTCACAATGAATCGTCTCTCTTGCTCACCTGAGTTCCATCGGGACCAATCTTGTCAAGAGCACCAACAGTGCTATATAGAAAGCCAATTATTTTGTTGAAATTTGCATCTCCAATACTCCAAGATCCATCCACCAAAAATACCAGGTCGGCCTTTGCAGCTTTGCAAACTACAAAAATACACAAAGTACTTTGAAATTAAAAAAAAGAAACTCTGATTCAATGTGGCAGAAACATGTTCACATACACAAATAGTTTCCCTTATTTTGACAAACGTTTATTCTTCGTAATAGACAACAAGCTACTCTTTACTTTTGTACATTTCTCCACAAATTTCCCAGTTCTAGTAAGCATTCTATCAAGGTATACAAATTAATTTACGTACTTTAATTTCATGTCTTATTTGCAATTTTTGATTTAGTTTTCCTAATCAAATACAACTACTTTGGTCTTTAATAGTCGCTTAGTGGTGAGACGGATAACATGTACAATAAATAATAAAAATTTAATGTACAGATCCAGTTATCTTTTCATCCTACAGTCTAACATTGCAAATCATTCAGCTTCTCAGCCAATAACATAGCAATGTTTCCATAGAAAAGTAATGCATATTCATGTTCAAACAAACACTAATATCTAATATTCAAATATCACGCAAACATCCATTCTACATTTATGCATAAAGACTTTGAATAACCGAGGGAGCAATGCCAAATCATTTGTTAAACATTTTATTGCAATGATGGTGAACCTTTTTTCCATCACGTGCCAAAAGTGGGGGGAGCGTGGGGGAGTCACGCGTGCGCGTGGCCACACCGATAATTCAATGTGCCACGCCCCCCACGCATGCATGTGCAACCCCCGTGCATGCATGCGCGAGCCCCCCCCCTGTGCTCCCCCCGCTTTTGGCTCACAATGGCATGGTGGGCCCGGTAGGCCTGTTTTTCGCCCTCTCCAGGCTCCAGAGCCTTTCTAGGAGCCTGGTGAGAGCAAAAAATGGGCCTTCCCCAACCTCCCGGAGGCCCTCCGGAGACTGGAAACAGCCTGTTTCCCGACTTCTGGTGGGCCCAAAAGGCCTGAAAATCAGCTTGCGTGCACTAGAACTGAACTATGGCAACGCTTACGTGCCCACCGATATGGCTCCACATGCCATCTGTGGCACGCGTGCCATAGGTTCGCCATCACTGTTTTATTGATTCTCAAAGATGCTTTACTTCCCTGATACAACACTCTAAGTGACTCATCAGGCTTTTAGCTCCAGACTTGCTAGGAATTTTTCATAATTCACTCCAACTCACTTCATCATTCATTATCTCAAAATCAACAAGCATGAAATACAACTTCTTCCTTATATTCATGTTTCTTAATGACGTGCTAACTGCAAAAATTTGGCTTGAAACCATCAATTAATCGTATGTGCCATATTTAGAGCTCTTTGTCACTCTTGTGTCCCACACTAGTTTTTCTCACTCTTTCATCATGAACTACCAAGAGAATTGTGCTTTTTGATCACTTCTTTTTCACATTTACTTTTAAATGCTCCTATGTTTAAACTACATATTTAAAACAAAGATCATCTTCAAGCAAAACAGATACTGTACCATTCTAATTCAGTCTTGGGCCCCAAATGATATAACCAGTTTTTCTGTACTTCCTTGCCCACCCATTTTTTTATGCTAAGAAGAGGTTGGCTTGCAAGCCAACATAATGTTATCCTCATCCCAATAACCAGAGTTACATGTAGCACACTAATATACAGGTAGTCCTCAGCTTACAACCATTCATTTAGTGACCATTTGAAGTTATGATAGGGCTGAAAAATGTTATCGCGTGACCATTGCAGTTATCCCTGAAGTCACCTAATCTCAATTTGGGTGTTTGGCAATTGGCTTGTATTTATAAATTTTGCAGCATCCTGGGGTTACCTGTGACATTCCTAGCTGGCTTCTGACAACAAAAGTCTCTGGAGGAAGCCATATTTGTTAAATGACCAGGGTGATTTGCTTAACAGCAAAAACAGTTATAAAATTGGGCACGGTTCATTAACCGCATTGCTTAGAGATCAAGTTCTGGTTCCAATTGTGGTCAAAATTCAAGGACAACCATATTATAGTTAAATAACCTTTCTTTAAAAAAATCTTAGTATTGTCTTTACATAAAGATTACCTTCCTTTGCTGGAGGAATCGTAGGCTGTGGAGTGGTGGTTGGAGGAGTTGGTGGTGGCTCAGTTGGGTATGGCACTGAAAATGGATAAAAGAAAAGTTAGAAAGAATTATATAGCGATGGTAGTTGATATACTGTATGCACCTTACTGAGATGTTTGGAGAGTAAGAATAAAGTAAAAAAACATTGTCCTAAGCACAGCTACCAAGATCCCACTTATAGAGATCTGAAGACCTTCTTCAAATTCAAAATCTGGTCATCCCTAGGAACTGGAGCTAGTATTTAGTCTACTGATCGATCAGAGGCAGAAAATTAAGTTCCTACTAATGATACCCGGCCTATCCATAGCATTTGCTAATCACAAGTGCTAATCTTCAATGTTTGAACAAGAATCTGAAATGTGACTCCCCAAAATTCCAACTAGTATAGGTATCAATTTCACTTCATGAAGCTCCTAATTCCAGCTATAGTCTCTGATGTTATGTATATCAAAAGAAACTATAGCAAAAAAATCAGAAAATTAGATAGGAAGATGGAATCTCTGTTTACTTCTGACAACTAATACATGAACTATACTCAAATCAACATTATATACAAAATGATCCACTTACGTGTTGCCTCTATTATACTGATGGCAGGTCCTTCTAATTCCTGAATTTGTGAATAAACGCTGATATTATATTTTGTGTCAGGAAAAAGTTGAAAGAAGCAATGCCTAGATGCCCCCCAACCTAAAAGTTCTTCTTCTATTGCCCCATCTGAAAGTAGAGAGAGAACATTAAATGATCAGGATTTTATTGTTGTTTTCTAGCACACATAGCACAATAAAGAACAATACCCTAAACACAAGTATATTTTGAACTGTGATTTCCCACAGGAAGGAGGACTATGTATATGGACATGAATGGTTCTTGTTTCTGATATTTCTTCATTATAATGTATCTAATCAACTAATGTCAGCCTTTCAGTATATCAGATCAAAAAACAGAATCTTGCAAGGCTGAGTACGCTTTTCTCTCTTTATTCTCATATTCCAGTGAATCAGAGAGAAGTCAGCCTGAATCTCTTCCAAACAATATCTGGTTTTCCAGGACTTAAGGAATGCTTCATCCCTCTTTGCTTGTACAATGGCTCTTTCCTTCAAGGTTATGTCCCTGATGCTTTGGGAAGCATGTTTGGAATTTTAAGAGTAAACTGTGGGCGTGTAAAATGGTGGCTGTGGTGGCTTGCTCATTTTACAAAATGGCTGCTATGATAGGCATGGAAATCAAATAGTCTTATAAACCACCTAGCATTGGTCATTGCCATTTTTATGTTTGAAAAACACCAACTCCTCACATATTCACTTTTAATTAAAAGAAGAAGGGCTCTTTTTTTAACAAGACTACTAAGCTCCAAAGGAGATGACTTCAGGTACATTTGTGTCTCAATACCATGATGGAGATGTCAGACTACGGCCATAATGAAGACCTCAGATTGCTACCAGAATACTTAGTCTTTTAAGAGGGCAGTTTCAACAGTTCAGAGCTTTTGACTACATAACTCTTGCTTTTCAGATAAGGGGAGACCCTTACCTGAATGTCTTCTCATGTCAAATAGGGAGTGTTTTGCTGGTTTCAGGTGTGGCTCAGTGTTAATAAAGACAGAGTCGAAGTATTTGTCTCAATAAGCTTTATGTGTTTATTCAGCTGAATAAAGATGGAGCCCCTCATAGCAAGAGGGAACCCTGAACACACTTTGACACTCATATTTATATGTTTGCTATATTGTCCACTTCTCCACCCCAGAAAGATGCACACACCCCACCCAAACAAGCTGGCACACTCTACATAAGATAAAGAAGTACGGAAATAGCCATCCACCTCCCTTGGAGGTCCTCCAAGAATATCAGTTGTCACCTCAGGGACATTCCTGAGAAACGTTCCTGAGGAACTTTTCATGACCTTGAAGGCTACAGAGGCAATGGTGACATCGGCACATATGCTCCCTCAAGATTGTCAATAGAAACATTTGATTCCTGATCAACAGGAGCACCTTAATACTTGAGCAACATATGCATGATATATTAACTTACCATTAAGAGATTCTATTACAATTCTGTAAGCAGTCGCGTGTCTGTGGGGCTGCCATTGGGCACATAAACTCGTCATTCGGGTTTGATAAGCTCCTAAATTTGTCACACCCAAATACACTGCAAAAAAAAATAATACAAATACAATATTATTCATGCTTTTTATCAATTCCATCAGACAGGAAAAAGGCATATTTTGTCACGATTTGGATATCAGAGGAACCATAGTTCTTGCTTAGTGGAATTTCTCTTATAAGCAAGAGGTGAACTTTTAATGTTATGCCAAAATCTGCCTTGCAGATTCTGACACGTTTTCCATTTCTGGAGTGAAAGAAGGTTTTGTTCTTCTGTCGCATTGCATCGATGATGCGTTAAGCATAGCTGATAGTTGGAGATAGTAGTGGAGTTTCATATTACAGATCTTGCCATCATTCCAAAGACTCCCTTGCTGTCCACATCACCCGGTTTGAAAGAATCTGCAGCAGAAATGTCCTCATTTCTAAATTGTGAGAAATGCTGTGGACTGCTAGAGACAGGGCTGCAGAGAAGAACCCCCCACACCAGGGGTGAAATATAAAATTTGTTATTACCGGTTCTGTGGGCGTGGCTTGGTGGGGGGAGGTAATGTGACTGGGTGGGCGTTGCCAACTTTTTTTTTTTTAACTTTTCAAAGCATTTTTTTTACCACTTCTTCGGCCAAGAGGTTGAAGAAAAAAATGCTTTGAAAAGCCTCTGACGATCCCAGCTGAGCCGCGCGATCATCAGAGGCTTTTTTTTTTTTAAAAAAGCATTTTTTCGTGGGAAGAGGTTGTAGAAAAAATGCTTTTAAAAGTTAAAAAAAAAAAGCCTCTGATGATCCTGCGGCTCAGCTGGGCATGGGGTGGGGGGGCAGGTATTTTTGTTACCGGTTCTCCGAACCATCTGCCACCATCGCTACCGGATCGGGCGATCCGGTCCGAACCGGGAGCATTTCACCCCTGCCCCACACCTCTTGGTCATCTGGTCACCCAAACATCAGACTCAAGCTATGAGAATTTCATGAACGTTTTATTTTCCTCTGAAATACATGAGAAGAACATGCTCTCTTTCATCAGCCGGCAGAAGAAATTTTCATTTATACTCCGAGAATGGGAAACAGAAGGAGAGGTGACAAGGGGAGGGATTGAGGCATAATATCTGAAGTCCTTCAAAGATTTTGGAGAAAGGAACCCCAGAATCATACTTTAGTCTCATTACTCTTCTCTTTATAGGTTGTGGACTCCTCACTGATCACAATTTAGACATTTGTGTTTACACAACGCGCTTAACCAGGAAAGTTAGGAAAAGGGGGTTAACATTTACCAGGTTTCAAATATCCATAATGGTACAAGTTTTCAAAACTATTCCAAAGAATGGAACTGACCACTTCTTAGTAATCAAAAAGAGGTGTATTAAAATGGACCTGATTTTTAAAAGGTGACCTTTCACTTTCTGTTCCAAATGAAAAATATTCAACAGAGACCCTCGCTCTTTGTGTCATACCCAGATTATAACTCCTTACTAAAACAAAGGCTAAAGTAATCAGTGAAATATGATCCATGGACAAAAAGATTCTAAAAAACCCCAAGGTTCTTACATGTCTTGGCAACACCTGTTAAGGCTTCACTAAATCCAGTCGTGTAAGAAGCAAATACTTTAACATTATACTCTGTTCCACTAAGCAAATTCAAGATAAGGATAGTGTTGACATCATCACCCACAAAGGTTTCAAGTGCTGGTCCAGAAACTGAAAGAAACAAGAGAGGAATTTGATGAACATGGTTCCCTCCCCCCATAACACTGCATTTGGGTTAAAGCAGTGGTGAAATCCATTTTTTTTACTGCCGGTTCTGTGGGTGTGGCTTGGTGGGCATGGTGTGGCTTGGTGGGCATGGCTTGGTGGGCGTGGCAGGGGAAAGATACTGCAAAATCCCCATTCCCTCCCCACTCCTGGGGGAAGGATATTGCAAAATCTCCATTCCCACCCAACTCTGGGGCCAGACAGAGTTGGTATTTGCCGGTTCTCCAAACTACTCAAAATTTCCGCTACCAGTTCTCCAGAACCTGCTGGATTTCACCCCTGGGTTAAAGATGCTGGGAAGTTCCATTATTACTTTCTAATCCACAAAAGTGATCCTTAATTTGAAATCAAGAATAACTAGCAAGAGGCAAATCAAGAATAACTAGCAATAATGACACAATAAATAAATTTGATATATAAATATGATCTATTATGTATTTATTTATTTATTTGTTTAATATTTATTGTATTTTTATCCCACTTTTTTTGCTTTATAAATAATTCAAGGCAGTGAATTTACACAATCCACCTTCCTCCTCCTATTTTCCCACAACAACCACCCTGTGAAGTGGGTGGGGCTGAGAGAAAATGACTGGCCCAAGTTCATCCAGCTGGCTTCCATGCCCAAGGCAGGACTAGAACTCACAGTCTCCTGGTGATTGGTCCAAAGTCACTCAGCCAGTTTTCATGTTTAAGGCAGGACTCGAACTCACAGTCTCCTGGTTTCTAGGCCAGCATTTAACCATTACAGCAAACTGGCCCTTTCATGTTTATTCAGAGATCATTTGTTTGTTTTACACGCTCTAATCTCTGAATTTCAGGAAAACAAAGAGAAACAATTCTTAAATATTTCTTTGTTTAGGAGAGCTGTAAAAAGCTGACTCTTCTCCCAAGCTTTTGCTGAGGGTGAGGGAGATCCTTTGTTTCATCATGCTTGCGAGTTTTATGTTTCATTTATTTCATTGTAATTTCTTGGATTGTTGTGGGTTGCCAGAATCATGGAATATTGGGCAGCGTACAAGCTTAATAAATTATTATTTCCCCTTTCAATTGTTTTTTCCACACCCTCAAAAATCCAGCAGTTTTTTTTCCCGTTACAAAAAGAAAATGTATCTTGTTATCTTATCTGTGTAGAGAAGAATAATTTGGTGAGAATTAGGAAGGAACATTATTTACACAAAGTATAACTTAGGTACATAACATATAAATCAGTGATGGCTAACCTTGTTTTTGCCGCGTGCTGAAAGCACGCATGCGCGTGCACCCATAATGCAATGCACGTGCGAGCCCCGTGAGTCCCGCCCCCCAGTGCATGTGCACGCAATCCCCCGTGTGTGCCCCACCCCCTGCACATGCACGCATGACCCCCAGTGCTCCCCGCCCCATGTCTGCATGCACGATCCCTCACGGTCCCCCCACCCCCTGTGCATGTGTGCATGACCCCTGAACATGCGTGCGTGACCCCCATCCCCCACCCGTGCGACCCACCCATGTGTGCCCCATCCCCCATGCATGCACGCACATCTCTCGCATGTGCCCCCTCGCACATGAGCAGCAGAGACCCGAAAACCTGCTGGCTGGTGGGAGGCCCACACATGTGTGGTGGAGTTGAGCTGGGGAGATGGCCCATGTGGCCACAGAGAGGGCTCTGCGTGCCACCTGTAGCACATGTGCCATAGGTTCGCCATCACAGGTATAAGTAAAGCAGACAGGCAAATATTTCAAGCACTCACTATTCACAGGTTTATATACAATCCTATACCCCATTGTGGGGGATCGAGGCGCATCCCAGCTAATCCTTAATCGGTTGTACCATTCATCAGAGACTTTCAGATTTTGTGGAGGAGAAAGAGGCACTAAGGGGGGGAAAAAGCACATTCTAAGTTATATTTTTTTCTCAAAACATCCCTGAGAAACAGCTTAATTAAATACAAGCAGTTGCCTATATTTGAGCCTTCACAACTTTGTACTCACAAGTTTTTCCCGGAGCTGACAAACTGACTCCTTCTCCATCAGCATAGATTGGGGTGACCATAATTTTGTATTCAGTGTCTGAGAGCAAAGGCTGAAGAAGTAAATTGTTTTGTCTCGCGGGGACTGTAACCTGGATGGAAGAAACATTAAAAACAAATATGACAACTGTATCGTATGATGTCTTTCAGGCTTGACTATAATAAAAAAGAAAAAAACATGCAGAGAACACAAAGCAACTTTGTGTTCAGGCATACATCTGTGTATTTTGTTATATATGAGTTTTTCGGAACTTGATATTGTCAAAGTTTCTTGCAAACATAAAATCCAGAAGCACACACACAATAACTGATTCAGCTGGATTCATTAACTTCTTTATATACATAATAACAGATGAAATAAATTTTACAATGCCAATAGTTGATTCTTCAATGTGGTAGAAGTTATAGGCAGAACTCAAGGCAGGAGAGAACAGTTAGTTTTATTTCAGCACTGCATGCACGGACTGCTTAGTTTCAGTTTCAATTCTCTGCACAGACTCAGAAGCTGCAGACTAAGACATGCCCTGGCACCAGTCTGCCTCAGCTCCCATTGGCTGATTTAGTTGCTATGCTATTCATTGGCTGACCTTGTTACCATGTCTCTGCCAGTTTATGAATAATCTAACAGATATGCCATAACTTCCAAATGCGCGCTCACATTTTAGGTTCTGGGCGAACCGGTTGTTACAGTATGTGAGGCCAACCTCTGGTCTGCAATACTGCATTCTAACCTTTGTGCTACCATGGCTCTTAGTATAAAAATCATTCATATAAAATCATTCTCTCTCATAGCATACACAAATGGCTCTTGTACAAAGAAACTCATAACCATGCATCCACAAAATGTTCCCCTTCCTTTGACCAACCAAAACACAACATGGAAGAATAACTAGAAAGGATGTATAGAAAGGAAAGTAGAAGAAGTAGTTATACAGGAAGAGAAGGAAAGAGAAAGTCAGAAAGCTGGATGGTGAAAAGGAAAGCAAAAAAGACAACAGGGAAGGGAAGTAAAACTAGAGAAATCCTCTTTAGCTATTACAAAATGGGAGAAAATTCACTGAGAAAAGTAACTACTCTAAAGAAATGTCTAACTTTCAAAGGCTTTGAGCAGAGATATTAACAAATATTTTGCATATCCATCCCACTCCATTTATTTCCATAAGTTTCTTATCTTCTGAGCAGTGAATATAACACATCCCTCCCCCATTTACAAGTAATTATGTTGAGAGAAAAACAGACAGTAATGAAAGTACGCTATGAAATTAACTTGATATTCAGAGAAGGAGAGAAAAAATTACTTTATGCAATGACTTCCTAGGTCCTTTATTTATTGAACATACTTCCAAGAGATTTGACTTGACTTTAACCTGTCTCCTATACCCCCAAAATCCAAAGATTTGAAACAGCCACCAAGAAAATTCAACTTTTCTTGTTGGCATCAAATAATGGTGGTGGAGCTGAGAAAAAGGCCTCTCTTCCAGACTGTAAAACTGGGCAGGTTCTGGTGAGACAATGCTTCTTTCAAATAGTTGTAAGAGGGCTACGCATGTGTAACCTTTTTGAATTGTGTCCAGAAAATAAGTGAGGGACCAGTGAAGCTGCTGTAAGACAGAACCAGGCGGGCTGAGAAGATTGAATCAACAGCTTGGCCAGAATTCAAAATCATTTTATGGTCCATAGTATCTGTAAATCTTTCAGTCCTTGTTCCCCATTGTAATTTCCTTCCAGCTTTCTCATGCCCAGCTGCCTGAAATGCTTTCATCTATTTATTTCATGTCTCCATCAGAGAGATTCTCAAGGTGGATAGCAACCATTTGCGAAGTATTAAATCAACAGATGAAAGCAGACTGTACTCTTGATTCATAATAATTTCTCTTCTAAGCCACTAACATTTTTTCTATCCTCGCTGTCCCTATTTCAAAACAAGTCCCTCTTTTTTTTCAGATGTCTTCTTAAAGCCATGGGGTTTGGATTTAACCCATTGAATCCTCACCCCTAAACAACCCAGAATTAGTAGGCATAATGTTATGCAATCACATTCATTACTGGCAAACTTGGTCACAATGGGGTTGCAAACTGGGAATTCTGGGAGTTGAAGTCCACTCATCGTCAAGTGGACTGCAAGTGCAAGATTTTTCATTTGGAGAACCATGAAGCAAATTGGGTCAGGTCTATGATGGGTGGCACAGTAAGTGTTAACTCACCATGTTCTCCATGTGAATGAAGAATCCCACACCGCCTGCTTGCAAGAAGGAAAAGGGGGTTGTTGAACTTTGTGTCCAGTAAATGGCACAAGATACCACCCCATCTTCCATTTGGAATCTAGCAGAAGAAAAGTCCTCCTCAACTTTTCATATCGACCCTTTGATATTTGCCAAAGCAACATATCCCCACCTTCTTTATTACAAATAGTCCTCAACTTACTGCACAATCATTTAACAGATTTAACAGATTAACAGAGTTGGAAGGGACTTTGTAGGCCATCTAGTCCAACCCCCCGCCCAAGCAGACTCTACACTATTTCTGACTGATGGCAGTCCAGTCTCTTATTGAAAGCTTCCAGTGATGAAGCTCCTGCAACTTCTGAAGGCAACTTCTGTTCCATTGGTTGATTGTTCTCACTGTCAGAAAATTTCTCCTTATTTTCAGGTTGAATCTCTCCTTGATCAGTTTCCATCCATTATATCTTGTCTGGCCTTCAGTTGCTTTGGAAAATAGGTTGACCCCCTCTTCTTTATAGCAACCCTTCAAATATTGGAACACTGCTATTATGTCTCCCCTGGTCCTTCTCTTCACTAGACTAGCCATGCCCAGTTCCTGCAACCGTTCTTCATATGTTTTAGCCTTCATATGTTTAACTAATCACATTGGTTGCTCTTCTCTGCACTCTTTCTAGAGTCTTTCTATAGTGTGGTGACCAAAACTTGATGCAGTATTCTAGGTCTTACTAAGGCTTTATAGAGTGGTATTAGTAGCTCACTTGATTGATCCCTTTGTTAATGCAAGTTAGGATTTGTTTAGCAACTGTTTGAAAGGTATTGAAAAAGTGACTTCCAACTGGTTCTCCCACCTATGACCATTGCAGCATCTCCACAGCCACATGATCAGACTTTAAGAACTTGGCAACTAGCATGTATTTGCGGTGGTTGCAGCATCCCAAGGTCATGTGCTTCTCATTTGTGACCTTCCAAGCTAGCTTTTCATTTACTTTTTTTCTTTCTTTCTTTCTTTCTTTCTTTCTTTCTTTCTTTCTTTCTTTCTTCATTCATTCATTCATTCATTCATTCATTTTCACCAAGCATGTATTTTATGACAGATACAAGTGTAAACATAATTATAAATACATGAAAAGGATACAAATAAAAGGGAACAGTAGGACAGGGACGGTAGGCACGCTGGTGCGCTTATGCATGCCCCTTAAAGACCTCTTAGGAATGGGGTGAGGTCAACAGTAGACAGTCTAAGGTTAAAGTTTTGGGGATTTGGGGAAGAAACCACAGAGTCAGGTAGTGCATTCAAGGCGTTGACAACTCTGTTACTGAAGTCGTATTTTCTGCAGTCTAGTTTGGATCAGTTTATCATGAGTTTGTATCTATTGTGTGCTCTTGTATTGTTTTGGTTGAAGCTGAAGTATTCATTGGCTGATAGGACATTGTAGCAGATGATTTTATGTACTATGCTTAGGTCAGACCGAAGATGGCAAAATTCTAAATTGTCTAAGCCCAAAATTTCGAGTCTGGTGGCATAAGGTATTTTGTTGCGAGCAGAGGAGTGGAGGACTCTTCTTGTGAAATATCTCTGGACTTGTTCGATTGTATTTGTTGCAATATTTTTAGGATCAGACTCAATAATGATAATAAAGATTAGAGGTTTAAATATATCTCTCTTTAATCTTAACAGGCATTCTATATTCACTGAATATTTACAGATAGAAGCAAGGGAAATGGTGAGGGTGGCTCCTTATATATACAAAGGGCGGAGTCAAGGATGGGAGTGGTGAATTATGAATACATTAGGAAACAAAGAATAAGTTAACCCCTGATATCCCATATATACATTATTTACAGATTAGGGAATAAGGCATTTACATCTGACAAATCCCCCTCTAAATGCCGGTTCGCTATACAACACCAATTACATTCAGATTCAGGACAATATAAGATATATAATTTTGAAGTTAAATATTTGTGCTGCTTAGAAGGTAAAGGCTTCGTTAATATGTCAGCTAATTGTTCAGAGGTATCACAATGCACTGCTTTGATAAATCCATCTTGAGACAATTGTCTCACATGTTTAAACTTTATATCTATATGCCTGGATCTTTGTCCAATGGCATCGGATCTGGATATTTCAATGGCTGCTTTATTATCTTCATGCATAACAAAAGGTAAAGCAGGTTTTTTCCAGACATCTGAAATCAAATCATTAAACCATACAAGATTATTTGCAGCTTTGGATAAACAAACATATTCCGCTTCTGTGGTTGAAGTGGCTACCAGTTCTTGTTTACCAGTGTACCAGTAAACTGGACAGTTATTTAACAGAAAAATATAACCAGAAGTGCTCTTTCTGCATGATATATCTCCAGCCCAATCCGCATCTGCGTAACAAGTAAGTTTTGGCTCTTTGTCATTACTAGGTTCTAATACTAAACAAAAATCTAATGTACTTTTTAGATATCTTAGGATTCTTTTGACAGCTTCCCAATGATACATAGTTGGTTTACTAACATGTCTTGACAATAGATTGAGAGGTAATGCAATATCTGGTCTGGTCCAATTAGATATATAAAGAAGTGAACCTATGACTGATCTATAGAATGTATTATCTTTAAATTCAGGGGAAGACTCATCATTGTTTCTAAGGAAATCAGTTTGCATGGGAGTGTCACAAGGTTTAGCATTGTTTAAATTGCATTTGTTTAGAAGTTCAATAATTTTATCTTTCTGAGTGAGTTTGAATCCCCTTCTAGTTTTGTTAATTTGTACACCAAGGTATTTGTTTACTTTACCTAGAGATTTCAACGAAAAATGTTCGTTTAGCTTATTTACAAAGGTTTCTCTTCTCTCCTTGTTTTTTCCTATATATAAAA